AGCAGTTGACATAATGGCTATGTCGCTGGACTCCCATGTAGTCCACTGTGGTTCGAGTCCCAGACCCGGTGGCTTAAACTCACGCCAGGCGCATGTGCATTTGTGCCCAAGATCCCAAGAGGTGAAAGGAGGAGAAGGGATTGCAGTGTGGCCATCCTCCCTGGGGGGTGATTTCTCACTTTCTATCTCTCTATGTTTCTGGTGTGTGCCCAGGATCCTGAGAGGAGAACGGAGGAGAAGGGATTGCAGCGTGGCCATCCCCCCAGGGGGTGATTTCTCGCTTTCTGTCTCTCTGTCTCTTTCTGTCTGTCTGGTGAGAGCAGGAACCCTATAGCAAAAACCTCTCCAAAAAAAAAAAAAGTAAAAGTACATAATTAATTCTTTAAAAAAAAAGAAAAAAGAGAGAGCAACTGGGTTTCACTTTTATTTTTTAAATAATAGCAATAGAAAACTTTAATAAGAATTAAGTAGTAAAAGCAATGATTACCAAAAACAAAGATGAAAAACACAGCACAGCATAAAATAATTCAGGAAATCTAATGTCACTGAAGTACTGATAGAAGAATGATGACGCCAGAAAGTACGAAACACTTCCTTCAAGATACCGTACCTTATCAATGGCTTTTCCAACCCGAGAAACACTGCTGTGGATGTCTTTGTGGTCCGAGGCCAATTTCTGAACAGTATCCTTTATTCTTTTACAGCACTGCGTCAAAACAAGTGAAAGTGTCCCTGATAATTCAGCATCTTGGCAGGATTTCCTGCTTGAGGCCGCCCCTGTAGTCCATGAACCTAAGGCAAACCTGAAGAAAGTCAGTTTCAAATAGGCCCTTGGGACATGAAAGATTAAAAAAAAAAAAAAAAGAAAAGAAATATCAGAATCTGCTTAGAGCAAATCATCACAGCCACAGATGTTATTTTTCAAGTGAACAGTAAAAGGTAACTGAGATTTTTTATTTTTGGAAATAAGAAAATTTTACTATGAAATAAAGCATTTTTGTAATTATTGGAAAATTTTTATAATTACTAAAATCAATACAGACTGGTATTAATACTGCTTTAGTAGTATTTTCTAAATTTGCCAGAGGGTATGTGCACTCACTGGATGGGGAGAGGAGGAGCAAGAAAGAGGGAGGAGGGAGGTGAGGGAGGGATGGAGGGAGGAAGGCAGGGAGTAAGAAAGAATCCCCCATGGGCCTGTTCCTACTTCAATCCCTCTTCCTCCACCTCACTTTCCTGTCAGGATTTTGGGAATGCACACACATGCATTGGGAGTGTTTCTTAAACCACTGGATCCGAGACTCAAATTGCGTCGTTGGCCATGTGGGATCCAGCCACCTTAACCACTGTCACCAGCTGTCCCAAGGCAGTATTACTTTTCAGAAAATATATCTAAGTAAATAAACTCACTTAATCAACCCAGGTAAACTGCTCACCGTGTTTTCAAAGCATTTTGTTTGTAAGTAAATTTCCTAACGAGAGATGATTTAATTTAAATGCTCTATATTCCATATAAAGTAGAAAAAAATAATAATGAACTTCTAATGTGCAGAAAAGAGTTATTATCAAAGCAGGACTGAGGCTGCTGTCCTTAGAAAGTCCTGCTTGCAAAGTTGGCCCCCTGGCTGGCACCTGGAAACATGGAATTCACAGGGTTCCCACCATCCCAACTGATAAGAATGGCTCGCTGTGTCTAAACCATAGTACATAGTGGTTCTGGCACGTATCTGCCTTTCTTCCAGGAATCTGGAATTGTGGTACAGGCAAGGCAGAGCGTGCCTTTATTACGAGCACACAATAAAAACCTTGCACACTGAGCTCCTAATGAGCTTCCTTGGTAGACAACATTTCACACTTGTCACAACTCCCTGCTATACAAATTAACTGTGTCCTGTGTGACTCCACTGGAAGAGGACTCTTGGGAGCATTCTCCTGGCTTCCTCTGGACAGTTCCCTTTGCCGATTTTGCCTTGTATGCTTTTGTTGTCATCAGTCTCGCCACAAGTACAATCATATGCAGAGTCGTTTGAGTCCTTCCTTCCAGTGAAATCAATGGAATCTAAAGGTGGTCTTGGGGACCCCTGACATACAATAAATTAACTGAAAGCTACGACAGTTTATATCCTCTCTCCTGAGAAGATCTCCTTCCAAACTCTGTTCCTTTAGCAAGAAAATGGGAGGAAGATGAGGAGAGAGCATAAATCCAGTTACAGTACTTGTCATTTATCTCTATCCACATATCTCCACTTACAAGCAACAGGACTGGTTTCTGAACTCCTACCCTATAACAGCAGTGGTTCCTAAATTTGTATTTCCATCACAATCACCTGGAGACCTAATTAAAACAAAGTAGCTGGGCCCTATCCTCACAGTTTCTGACTGAACAGGCCTAGGACGAGGACAAGAATCTGAACAAAACTAAGCCCACTAGTATAGCAGCCCTAAGATATACATTCATTTAACAAATATTTTGAGCAGTCAAATAAAACAACTAAAAATACCTGCCCTAGAACCTAACTTCCGGAGAGAGACATAAACAACACTCAAAATAAGCAAATTATATAGTACAGCAAAAATGATACATGCTATTGGGGGAAAGGAGAGTAAGAGAGGGAAAGTAGGTACAGTTGGCAACTGTGATCTTACTTAAACAGGGTAAATACGGTAGCCTCACTTAGTACATGACATCTGAGCTATGACTTGAAAGCAGCACAGGAATTAGTCATGTGGCTACCATGGGGGAAAGCATTCCAGGCTGAAAGAGCAAGAACGGAAATATACCTAAGTTATTCAAAAGAACAGTAAAGAAGCCAGTGTGTGCAGTGTGGCTTTCTGGCAAAGGAAATAGCTGGGGAGGAGGTCCGAGAGATAAAGGAGAGCTGCTCTGGTAGGGCCTTCCTTTTTGGCATTGTAAAGGCTTTGGCTTTTCAATAAAAGAGAGCTCCACTGCAAAGTTCTGAGCAGAGAGGGTACACATACCAACACAATGTTTTAATATGATCACTCGGACTAACAATGGCAATACAAGAACAAAGCAGGAAGATATATTAAAAGGCTGTGGCAGAAGCCAGATGAAAGATGACAGTGGCTCAGCCCAGAATTTCTTAACTAGATATAAGGAAAAAAGAGACCTACAGATGCCTCCAAGGTTAGCCTGAGTCAAATACAAAGATTGAGTTTTCTTCAATTAAGATGAAAAAGAGTCAAAGCTAAGCAGGTAGAAGGGCGCAGAGGAGAGGGTTCAGTTTGAGGTTGGTTATTTTTGGGGCATTGAATAGATACCCAGTGCACATACGGAGGAGTCAGCTAGATACATGGAACCGTGGAGTTCAACAGCAATGCTGAGCTGCAGATATATAGGTGTGAGTCACTGGCACACTTCAGACCATGAGACTACATAAAATCATCAAGGAAGTCGGGGCAGACACAGAAGGTGGTAAAAGGACGGAGTCCTGGAAACTCCACGTTTATAAAGCTGAGATAAAGTAGAACTGGAAAGGAAAGGGAAACTAACAAAGGCTACTAAAGCATTAACTGTGATGGAAGAGGAAAATCAAAGTACAGTATTGGGAAACTAAGAAGAGAAGAGATCGTGTACTGAGGACATCCCCAGGAAGAGGAGGGGATCTGACCAACAGTGTCAAATGCACCATTAGGTCTAGTAAGATGTGGACTAGATGCTAGATCAAGGAAGAACTGGCCCTTGGATTTACAGCTTGGTGGTCATTGGTGAGCAGGACAAAAATAGTTTCTCTAATTTCAAGACAAGAAACCCTAGAAGGATGCAGGGATGATGAAGGGTGAACATAAGTAAGCCTGGTTTAATGATGACCACTGACAGAAAGATAAGCAAACATAAAACAGTGCTGGTAAGGTACCTAATCCAAAACAGAAACTGGGACCAGCAGATGGCACAATGGTTATGTTGTTGGGCTCCCACGTACTCAACTGTGGTTCGAGTCCCAGGTCCAGTGGCTTAAAACTCACACCAGGCACATATGCATGCATGCCCAAAATCCCAAGAGGAGAACGGAGGAGAAGGGAATACAGCATGGCCATACTTCTGCCCCCAGGTGATTTCTTGATTTCTGTCTCTCTGGCAAGTGTATGTACCCTGTAGTAAAAATCTCTCAAAAACAAAAACAGAAACTGTCCTCATCTCTAAATTTGCATCAGTGACTTCCAACTTCTAATAACATAATTTGAAGATTTCAAAATCTGTCCAAAAAGCAAACATTCTTTGAACCAACGGACTCTAATTGCTTCAGTAGCTCTGTTTTAACTACTTCTGGCCTTTCTGTACCTAAACTACACCTAACCTCAATGGTCTCATCTCTCTGAAGCTCTTTGCCCAGACTTACTCCCTCTTCTGAATTCCTGATAATGTCTGTTCTCCCCACTGTTCCTCTGGCACATAATTACACACTACTTAATAACTTCATGTATATATGCCATCATCAGTTTCCACTGAACATAAGCCCCCAAGGGAAGACAAGGTTCTTACTGTAAACAGTACACTCCAGTCTTTAATTAATAATGCCTGCAAATGTGTAAGATGTATTTGGACTGATGTAAATAAAGGAAGGAAAAGGAACAGTTAAAAAGAAAGTCAGTCACGCCAGGTGTGTGTGTATGTGTGCCTAAAATTCCAAGAGGAGAATGGAGAAAAAGGGATTGCTGTGTGGCCATCCTCCGGGGATGATTTCTCACTTTCTCTGTCTCTCTGCTGAGCGCAGGTGCCCTATAACAAAAATCTCTTCCAAAAGCAAAAAAGAAAGTCGGGCCTGCCCATCATCTGGAGGGTAAGGTGGCTAATCACCACATGGCCGACCACGTGGTTTGTGTCCCAGACTCAGTGGCTTGAAAAATATACCAGGCACGTGTGCATGTGTCCTTCAATCCCAACAGGAGGGAGAAATGGAGGAGAAGAGATCGCTGCATGACTATGTCTCATGGGGGAATGTCTTCTCACTTTTCTCTCTGTCTTTCTCTCCAGTGAGCAAACATACCCCGTGGCAAATTTTTTTAAAACAATGAAAGAAACCCATAGTCAACAAATGATACTGAGACAACATATTACATACAGATAAATCCTGTCATATACAACAATTAACTCAAAATGGAATAAAGACCTAAGTGTAAGAGCTAAAATGATTATATTCTTAGAAGAAAACAGGTACATTCCTGACCCTAAATTAGAAAATGGTTTCTTAGAAATGACATCAAAAGGACCAGCAACCAAAGAAAAAATAATTGGACTTCATCAAAATTAAAACTTTTGTGCTCTAAACACTATCAATAAAGTGAAAAGAATTCACAGAATAGAATATCTGCAAATCATATTCTGATAAAGGTACAGTATCCAGAATACATAAATAATTCTTAAAACAGGACAAACAAATCAATTCAAAAATGGGCCAAGACTTCAAGTCAAAAAGATACTCAATATCATTACTCATTAAAGAAATGCATATCAAAGCTATTAGGTTGTCAAGAAAGTCATGATGCATTCTTTTATGCAAAAATGGGTCAAGACTTTACCAAAGATCCAATACAACAAAGCCCAACTGTGCTGTGCAGGCTCTCCCTGCAGGATACTGTAGTCCTATGCAAAGGCCTGTGGTTCAGATCTGGGGTAAACGTGAACACCCCAGGCCTGCCCACAGTCCTGGCTGGCTGGAAGGCTATGGGGAGGGAGGAATTCCAGCATGATGAGATGCTGTCAAGGGTGCCACACATAACCCACTTTGAAA